ACCCTGGACTGCTCCCGCTGATGGAGTCGCAAGTGGACGGGTTAATCCCGCTGCTTGCGTCGCTCGCCCGGCGGACTGGGCGCCCGAGCTTGGCGGTCGCAGCTGCGGGGGCGTCGGTGCGCGAGACCGCGCTGCAGTGCCTGGTGGCGGCGATGCAGCTGCCATACCGGCTGCTGCACTGGCACAGGCGAGCCGTGCTGCGCGCGATTACCGCGGCACTTGACGACGATCGGAGGGGCGTGCGGCTGGCAGCTGTGCGCGCACGGCGCGTTTGGAGCGTCTCATAATCGTGTAAATAATTTGGTGGTCACTGCAGCCGAAGCACGATACCAACTGTTCTTGAAGCGGAATGGTCCGTTGCTCAACTTTCATACAAGTGGTGAGGATTCAAAGGTCATACCGGTTTATTTGTCCCATAGACGCGCGTTCAAGGCTTGTTGTGCGTGCCCAAGTCGCAACGAAGGCCAGTTTGGCCGCGTGGCAGCGCCCACAGGCTACGCCGTGGGTCGAAACGACCTAATGGATGCGCATGGTGATGTAGTGGGCGCAGGAACGGCCGCTGGCAGCCCGCGCGCCGCAGGCGTGCCCGATGCGCCTCTCGCAGCTGAGGCCTTGGCGCCCTCGGAGCCCCTCGCTGCGGCCGCCGCCATGCCCATGGACGACGGAGGTGTGTATTCTGACCGCGCGCCGCCGAAGCGCCGTCGCGCGAGCAGCGACGGCGGCGAGGACTCCGACGACGGCGCGCACGGTGCCAAGCGTCAGCGGGGCTTGGATCTCGATGGCATGGAGGCTGACTATGAGTGTGTGATATGCTCCGAGCTTCTGTTCGAGCCTGTCGGTGGGCCCTGCGGCCACGTGTCGTGCCGCCTGTGCATGGAGAAGTGGGCGGAGACGCAGGCGCCCCACTCCACAAAGTGCCCAGAGTGCAGGTGTGCGGCGTGCGCCCCTGCGCCTGCGGCCCGCGCTCGCAGCCCCTGTATGCCGCGCCGCTGCTCCCTGCGACGCCGTCGCAGACTGCGCGGCCGCCGTCCACGCCCGCGCCCGCGTCGCGACCGCCCGCCCGCGCAGTCACCGGCTGGCGCAGTCCGGGCGCGTCCCGGCGCGGCGGCACCTTGACCACCCCGCTGCACCTCCCCCAAAAACGCTGCCTCGCAGGCAGCGCATCGCGCCCGTTGGGACGCCGTTTGGCGTGTGCCTCCGCCTGCAGCGGCTGCTGGAGGTTCTGTTTCCTGAACAGGTCAAGGAGCGGCGCGCCGACACAGAGCGCGAGCGTGAAGGTGCGACCCTTTCTTAGCTGGGTGTTGCCCTTTTTGGGCGCCGCCTGCGGCGGCCCAGGCAAACGCTTCGTCGCGCGTCGTCGCATGCGGCCCCAACGTCTCATCCCGCCGCCCGCCTGCCCGCGCGCCCCCCTTCGTCTCCCCTAGAGTGGCGCGCGACCCAGGAGGCGCGCGCCGCGGCGCGCGCCGCCGAGCGCGCCCGCGCCGCCGAG